TTTATCTTTAGAGATCTTTACTGGCCTCTGCATGAATCACCTGCAGTGAACAATGCACAAACAGCTTTGTCTTGATCATTGTAACTCGGATATATATCACCTTAATGGTTATGTATGCGTGATAATATTATGCATGCAAGCGATGACACACTTGGGAACATTGCTTCACATCAATAGATGCAGATTGATAGGCCTTGTCATCAGCCAGTTCTTAAGGCAGGATTATTACTTTGAAATGTCTACTCATTTGCTTAAACATACCCAATAGGCTGGACTCAAGGGAGTAAAAGTATATACAGTCAGCTCTCGTTAATCCGACACTCATTAATCCGACAATCACGTTAATCCGACAAAAAATTAGGGAACCATTTAAAACAGTGATAATTACTCTCGTTAATCCGACATTCTCGCATTCCGACTCCGACACACCAATCTAGCAGCTGATTATTGTAAATACATTGTAAAAACATTGGTTAATCCAACAATCAACACAGCCGGTCGGATGATCCGACCGTATACAAACAATCACACGTGAGTGGTAATTAGCGTGTGCCTTACTGGCTGCTTGACACCGGCGTCAGTGAACATCACACTTGTTAATTAGGAACACAGGATAATTAATTGTGACGATTTAATCAAGAAATAACAGTAGAGCGAGCTGTATAAAATGTTTACAACCGACATGAGTTTTCATCACAAGATGTTTGTCACAAGTACACCACCTGCTAAGCGACCCCTTGTAGAAGTTACGCCATTGATCAAGAAAGAAATCTCCTGAAGAAAGACAAACCCCAGACAACACAACAAGAAGTCATCACTTTTGCTGAGCAGAAGTTTGATATGAAGACTGGACAATCAACCGTATCTGACATCCTGAAGCAGTCTGCTTAGTGGTTGAGCGTCTCTACGACTGATTCCGATGCTTCAAGCTATCTGAGGCCAAAACATCGTTGAACACTTTGCAAACATTTCTGACACACCACTTAGACGTGTTTGATGTTAATGACCATCAAAGACTTTTTTCAAGTTATAAATTATATATGTTATGATAAACACCTGATGTACATTAGACGTCCACATGTTATTATGGAATTAGTTGTATGGAAACTGTAACATATTCAACATCCGGGTCATAATGGCAGCTGATATGCGGTAAAAAACAAACGTGAGTTTTGTGCCAATGTGGTCATGAAATAGATATGAAACTGTTCGCTTATATGATTTTATATGTATGTTATGCCATCTATGAATGTTAATAAATGAAAACAAGTATGTATTGTTAGTATTTTTTATTTCTGTGAATATTTTTACATACGATGAAGATAACTAGATCTACCATTTCTGATATGCATGCAACAGTATGACGATCATGACATTTAGTAAACATTGATATTTTCACACAAATACATAAATCCGACATTTTCATTAATCCGACATTTTCGTTAATCCGACATACTTCTCTGCAACCACAAGTGTCGGATTAACGAGAGTTGACTGTAATGAGAAATAATACCCAAGGAAATCTACCATTTACCCTGAGTGAGTGAGTTAAGTTTTACACCGCTTGTATCAATATTCCAGCAGGGCACACCAAAAATGAGCTTCACACATTGTACCCATGTGGGGAATCAAACCCGGGTCTTCGCCAAGAAAGGGGGAATGCTTTAACCACTAGGCTACCCCAATGCCCCTTACCCTGAGTGAAGGATAATTTACATGTGAGAAAACATTATCTAGAACCATGATGATGTACATCAGCAGTATCCTGATCATACTTCTGCCAACTATCAGAATTCATCACCTGAGATTTTACAAACATGCAACAATACCCTGTGAAGTATTATCTGAAATTTTGTTGCAAATAAACTAGTAAAACAATGCCCTGTAACATCTAGTGTGCTTAGGATCCTCACAGGGATATTTAGAGAATAACCAACGAGGTACGAGTGATTACAGGAAATATGCCAGAGTTGAAATAATGTTCACAGTGCCGAGCCTTGGCGAGGCACTAAACATTATTTTAACAAGGGCATATTTCCCATAATAACTCATACCCCGTTGGTTATTCTATTTATTACCCATAATGTAATTTAAAAAGAAGAACCACGAAATAAAAATCACCCGGAGACAGGACTTGTGACCTCAAAGAGCTGATTCGTATTCATGCGCGTAATAAACCTAACTTCTCCAGCGGTAATAACATAACTATGCTATGACAAAAAGAACCTCGTAAAATCGCTTTAAAATACAACACAAATATTTTTATGAAATAATTTATTATCATTTGTTAATATGATAAAGATGATCTTTTAAATGCAATATCACTGAATTTGATAACAGCTAAAACGTTATTTGATCAAGTAAGAGTGCCGGAACATCATTCATTCACGACTGACGTGTGTCTAGTGATGGTGTAGTGTTGAAACAAACTTTGGCAAAAACCTGTCAATTTGGGGGAAAGTCAACGGTTAAAACTTGGGAAATCTAGAAGACAACCATCCCACGAATACATCTAGAAAACGTTTTCTGTCAAGAAACTCAACAAGTTTGAAGATTAAACAACATTTTGTTCTGTAGAAGGCGTGTTACAGTCACGTCATTGGTCCCAGTAGAGTACAGCAGTTCCAAGAAGGATAACTCTAGTCAGAATCCGAGTCAATGGGAAGAATATGCCTCTTTGGAGCAGATGATCGACTGACAGAGGAGTCATTCACTACCATAAATTGGACTTGAGAATAGTGTATGTACAGAATGAAGATTTACGGCATGAGACAACTGTGATGCCATGGTAGACTCACTTGTCACACTTTCAGGTAACACCTTTACAGGGGTGGAAATAACCCATTGCCCGACACCCCAGTGCAGTGTTTTTTTCTGTCGGGCAAGCAAATTTGTATATCACAACTGTAGCGGTGTCCAGTTGACTTTCCAATGTTAATTATGTTGTATATTTAACAAATCAACAAGAAAATCGGCCAGTATAGTGGAAAAATTATCAGGGCAAGTGATTTTACATGTGCCACTGTACCGGAGTACACTATCAATTTTAAAGTTATTTCCACCCCTGCTTTAGTCTGTATGTTCTGCTTCTATTTCCCCAAATTGAGTTTTAACAACAAGCAGGTTGTAGGAATTCAAGGGCTGTAAAATGTCTTATCACTCTTCCTGTTAGGTCCCCATCAACTTTAAAGTTCTAGGTCATTGGCCTTGATCGGGTTAGCCTAATGGCGGCCATGTTTGTTTACAAACAATGCAAACGATTGTTGTTGTTTTTTGTTTGTGATTTTTTAAGGTTATTTATTTTAAAGAGACTACTATTTATAACGCAATTTTATTGCAAAATAATAATGTCTAATGTCTTTAACCATTATGTTTTCTTTTTCAAATCTCGGAATGAGTGAGTACAGCACACAATCTCCTACCCAGAGTTCCATGCGGCCAGCCAGCATAGTACCTCTGCCACAGGCCAGAAAAATGTGACGATTCGTCACATCTTACAATGTCCATTCAAAAAAAATAATATAATGTACAGATTTCTTTTACTCTTTTATTTTTGACGAGTCTACACATCTAACTAAACATCTTTAATAGAATGGTTTAGTTTCACTGAAAAATTATCCAAAAACATGTAACACTATTTCGATTTGCGTAGCGATCCTTTGTTTACATAGGTTGTACGGTTCCACGTGCAGTCATCGAAGCCGTCGGAGAGCAAACGATGCAGCCAGTTTGATATCTAAATATGTACTGCCATAGACCTAACTGTCGCAGTTGTGGAAGAATATATATGTAACAATGTAAAACATTATGAAGAGAACCGAAAAGCTTTCGTGAGTCCAGTCCCTTCTTATTATGAATATGCGCGTTTGATTACAAACAAGAGAAAAGTACGGTCACGTGATATGCAAATTAGCCTGTGGCAGTGATGTTATGCTAAGTCATCACTGCGCCGGAGTGTGTACAGCACATTCTAATTATCAATGAAACGGTAAAATTTGTCAATGAACTTGGATCATGAAAAGTAGTTCCGTCAACCAATCATATTTCTTCTCTGCTTAGCTGACCAATCAACCAATGTTGATTGTGTATCAGATTATATAATAAATATAGCCTTCACCACTGAATAATTTTAGCAAGTGTCAGTTTGTGGTGGTCTTAATATTTTCATGCTACTTATGTTGTTCATTTTCAACTTAATTAATAGGGAAAAGGGAATACAATTATTAGTTTTGAGACATAACAAATACCAGTCCTCAAAACTTCATCATTAAAATGTTAAATTCCTTCCACTGGTAAGATTCAAAAGACATACTGTAATTAGTTCTATTCCATGTTTTATTATTTATAACACGAACGACAATTGCGTATTGAAAAGTTCACAGTTATCTCCTGATAAAAATGAGATCAGCAAAATAGGACGGGAGATTTTGCTTATTCCAGTTACTACATATAAAACATCGAGAAGAAAGGAAATTGTTGTGACTTTGCTGGATGGAAAACTTGCATTTAGCTAGTCATACTAACATCCAGAGTCTGGGATCATGTATAACTGAAAGGTACATACGTATTTCTATAGTACCACTGACCTATTTTTTAACCACCTGATGATACAATAATCTTAATGTTATGAAACCATGACTTTGAACAAAGAATCATCACGTGCTTATTCCAAATGTTTTACATAACAACACTTCTGTACATATCACAAGATCATCCTGACCTATCACATTTAATTATCGACATCGTCAATTCACTATCTACCCTCGACATGCCAATGTTTATCAGCTGTTTGTTGTCTTTACTCATGCACAGATTATGCAAAACAAATAAGGGGGCGTGGCTTAGAGTAGAAGCATGTGATTCAAAGTCATTACTCCGACATACCGTCAATTCTCAAGTGTTTATGTGATAACAACATTTTCTGGAATAAAAACCCAATAAATGAACTTTGCAGTGAACCGTAAACATTCGATTTTCATTAACGAATAAATTATCCTTACTTGTATTTCTCAAAGAGAGCATAAGCTTCATCGAACCCGTTGTTTAGCAGCATGTTGATGCCAGTAAGCGCCATTTCGGCGTCATCTGTCAAACCAGCATCCTCCCCTTCTCCAGCATTCATGTCTTCTATCTCGTTCGCCTGTGCCATGTTGATTCTAAGTCAGCCACACTTATGATATGCGTTATCACGTCCAAAATGTAGCTTTAATCGCATGAAGCTGACAGTTCCTCAAGTTTCCCTGGTGTCCGCCATGTTGTTTTGGGCAACAGCCTCGATCTGGTTTCTTGTATATATAGTTAGTTTCAGGAAATATGTTTGTGTTTAGATTTAGATGTTTCTCACTTGCTCAATAAGAATTGACAAGTATGGTTTTGTCTTTTACTCTTTTTAAAGACCCCATGGCGACACGAAAAGAACATACGTTATAAAACAGACTCAACGTGATCGGGCTAAAGATGCATCTTGTCATTCCAGGCGCGTAGCCAGCCAAATTTTTCGTGTGAGCCCGATAGGTTGCAGAACTTTATATGTAGATAGTATTGAGGGCTTGCCTGACTTTCATTTTTTAATCACTGAAAGAAAGACGCCTTTCAATTTTATGATATCAAGAATATCATGTTTATTGTACATGGTGACTGTATTGGTTAGACTTTGTTATCAAAGAACATTGTAGTCAAAATGATTCATAGAGGGATTACCATTTTTAAATTGTTCTGATAACGCTTTTGTAGGTATTCTTGGAATTAGAAGAATTTTTTTTGTTTTAGCAAAAATAATGTGTAAGCCCCGGCTTTTTTTATAACGGTAGCTACGACCCTGCATTCATCGATACATGCCCAAATCTGTCTGTCGAAAACTGTTATCGTATATTCATTAATGTTAGAAGGCACAGAAGGGAGTATATGGAGAGGAAAAACAACGATAATTTAGCATTAACCTTTCATATGATTTATATTATGCAGAGTTGAAACTGTCTTTGTAATATTTGTCTATCGTGATGGTATACCGTGTTCCAAACTAATCGCGATTACATTGTTTGAGTAAATTTATGTAGTATTAAGGATACAGAGAGACACCTTACCCTAAAAAATAGAGACGTAAGTAAAATCTCACATATTTGCTATTTTTTTCACATGGAACGGCATAACATTCTCAATTGAAGCCAAAAGTTAAAAATGACCTGTTCTTATTGTGAATAAAACCAACAGCACCAGGTTATAATGTCTAAATTACAGTACAGGTTGACCTGTAAAGGGTTAACGTGCTGCACGTTAGCACATGGAAAACATTACTAGCAAATTTTCTCTCGAAAATACAATTGACAGACCTTCAACCGAAGTGATCTATTTGAAATATACACAGTATACTTATTTGTTTTGTGATCTATTAAGACAATTGTTGTTCATACTTTAAATTTTACTACACTTGCTACCCGTCTGAATTTTCCACATAATTACATATTTATTTTTTATTATTTAGACTGTATATACATTTCTTTCTTCTCCGACATCTGGGGCTGTGTAAAGTCGTCTTGTGCTTAGTGTGAAACCACTTTAGAAGCATCCTCTGAACATTATTTGATAACGATTTGTGACATAAGATAATTCAAGACAGGCACTACAGATTCACTTGTCACTAATTCTTGTATTAACTAAAAATAACATTGAGTATAGAGTAACGCCCTTGACGTTAATATTCAAATAACTGGTATCCATATAGCCCTCTAAACCCCCTGTGTGTGTGTTGTGTGTGGAGTTAGAAGGTTTGTTGTTTAAATGGGTGCCAGTCAAATCGCCCCAGCTACAAAATGCCCCAGCAAATCTGATCAAAATGCCTCGGATTTTTGGTCAAATTGCCCCAGGGGGTAGTAAAATTGCCCCATTTTATTTCAAAATGATTAAATATATGGCATAAATGCATAGTTTTTGTCAACTTCGATATTATATTCTTCACATAATATTATATAGTAATGTTTCTGATAAATGTTCCATTATTAATCTGATAAGAGCAAAAGTAATATTCCTGTATAGGCAAAACTGTAATACCAATTATTTGCATGTTAATATGGCTGGAATAATCGAAAATAGGCAGTATAAATGATTTGTACATAGTTTCCAGAGTCTTTCTATTGAGGCGATACTTAAAACTTCTCAGACAGTTTATCATGGGGCCAACTTTGTTTGAAATGGTTTCGATATGACTATGCCAGAGGCCGTCTTGTTGAAATGTTACTCCTAGGTGTTTATGGGCTGGCATCTCGACGATGACAGAATTATTTATTAGCAATTCTGGAACATTGATCACAAATTGATCTTCTGCTTCCCGGTTTAGTCCCAAGTTTGACAGTGAAAGCTCAGGCAAAGTACCATATACCTTATCATGAGAGTGCATGATATATACTTGGTAAAATATTTTGGGTCAAATCTTGAAGGTGGCATCCATTGAAACAGTATCACTTTCACACAATCCATTGAAACAGTATCACTTTCACACAATCTGGATAAACTAGAGAGAGTTTCAAAAACAATGATCCCACTACTGTTGTTGTCATCTACCAGTAGATAGTCTTCTGCTTGGGCGTCTTTTGGAGTACGGGGACCTTCTTGGTTCTTTGTCTGTACAGACTTGACTTGATACTCTCATACATCTGAAGTCGGGCTGCAATCTCTTGAGCTGTTGCTTCTTCACACGCATCTAAAATCTTTCTCCTTTCTTTCTCCTAAATCTTTGGCACACCTGTCAGGTCTTCTCGTGCTCGTTTTTTTCATATTACTGGTATGGATATAGGAATCAATAGGGCCGTACTAATGTACCGGTACTTCTCTCAGTTGATTGCATTCAAATAATTACCCTTAATTGGTACAGATAGTTATCCCAGTTTTGACTTCACACCTTAACGGATTAGCGACCGAGACGCTGTCAAAAATGGGACTCTACTCTGCATCCCATGCTTGTCGTAAAAGCGACTAACGGGATCGGATGGATCAGTCTCGCTGACTTGGTTGACACATGTGATTGTGTGGATCGATTATCATGATGTTAATCACTGGATTGTCTGGTCAAGAACCGATCATTTACATACTGCCGTAAAATATAGCTGGAATATTGCTGAGTGCGGCGTTAGACAAGACACAAACTCACACCAATATTTGTTATGAATATGGCACTGGATGATAGCCTCCCTGCTTCATTTGCGCACGAAACAAGGACTGGTTTTCTTCTTCTTCATCATCATCATCATCATCAACATCATCATCAACTTGCACGCTGTACAGTTATCTTGAACACAACGTTATTATTACCCAATTTCACCTAAAATCAATCACTACCGAGGTATTCATGTTCATGTAAAGTTAATTCATGTATGTTGATAAAATAACCTTTGATCACACTTTTCTAATTTCGGAAGGTCCGTGGTTCGAATCCTATTAGGGGACTCGAAAATGTCACACCGCAACATTTTTCTGAAAAAGACTATACGCCGGAAAGACAGGTGCTCTAAGGGGGATAACTCTGAATTGTTTACGTTTAAGGACGCATGCTGAACGATCTTCCCAGAGGAAGCACATTACGCGTGATTTCTCCCGGAAAAAGTCACAGTTATAAGAAGTTTCAAGCACAAACTGTTTAAGGTGGCATGAAAGTGGTAAGGTTTAACAAGTGACAAGTGTATTTTCGTCACTATTAGTGCGTAGCGGTAACTTGAGTCCAAACATATTGAAGACGAAGTTCTGTAAAATCTTTACCCTATCCCAACGGCGCCTGGCCGAGAGCCGCGATGCGGTCCTATACAGTCAAGACAGCTCTCGATGCAGGGTTCTGTCTTGACTGTATAGGACCGCATCGCTGCTCTCGGCTACACAGCCCCCTCTCGGCTTTGTGTTTGGCCGTGTGTGGCATGGATACCAAAACCTGTCAGTGTGCACTGTAATATTTCACCAGACGTAGACTACGCCTGCAAAGATACCTGTGAACCCGATACCCATAAGAAGATTACTGTCTCATGACCATATACCACTAATGTGTCATTTAACTTGTCTGTGTATTCATGACTCTAGGCCACTTTTTTGTCCAACTTAAAGGATGAGAGAATGTCTGGAAGACATGAAGAAACATTTTATGTTCCATGAATTGCAACTTAATTTAACTTAGTATATAACAACACTGTAGATTATCTTTTTCATGCTCTTCATCTTCTGTGAACAAGATATGTTACTGGTAGCCAAACAGTTATCGCCATATTTTAGCGGTATTTACAAAATGACTCCACCATTCGTTAAATTAATGAAACAGAACCAATCATGATACTTAATCAGCTATTCGCCCGATGTGTCCAGCCAGTTCACTGCCGCCGATAGTGTTTTATGTAACGAGGTGGAAGGGAATCATGGCAGTACAAATAGATGTTTTCTCACGACTGTAACAGTTATCGCCATTTCAGAATTGCTCTTGCCATTCGTGAAATAATATATATTTATATCATACAGTAACATCGAATATGTGATTGTATGACTAACTGTGTGTTTTTTTTACAGTAGATTGATAGGGAACGAAACAATTAATGACTTGTGAACTTGAACTTGCTATTATATAGATCATGTGACATCCCCCAGACTAAGTTAAATCTTTTAATAGGGTTCATATCTTTATCTTTAATTTTTCTCTTACGTTACTTACCGTGAAGAATTTGCTTGTGCTGTCCTTTATTGTTGTCAAATACCGTGGGGAAAAATACCGGAATTGTAATTGACCGGAACTGTGCACGTGTAATACAGATGTCTTGGCGATAGCCAGTAGACACAGTTTTGCTACATGTGACATCAGCAAGATTCCTGTTTACAAGTTTTCCGAGATCTATGTGTTTTTCACTGTAAATTTTTCTTAAATGTCCCTAAGTTATTTCAAATGAATTTAGATTGCCATGGTACTGTGGGAGACGGATCATCACATGTACTTCGTTAAGATGGTGTCAGTTTTGTAGACTGATCGTTGGTTTTGCAGGGCTCCAGATAAGGGCTGTATCGGCGTATGTACAGATATAAAATAAGCACGACAGGTAGGAAATAATTTAGAAAACGTATTGCTTTATTGTTTATTGACCTGTTTACACAAGAGTAGCAATGTTGTGGTGCATATATGAAACAAAACACAAGATTACTGATACTCCATTAATTTCCATTCAGTACTCTAAATGCACTCTTATTGTTTTCCAGTACTCCTATATTGAAAAAATAAGGAATACGTCCTCCTGATCATGAAAAATTATCTGGAGCCCTGGTTTTGGCTAGAATGATCTGGGGCCCTAAGGTGGTCGTAACTCCCATACTTTTACATAGACTTACGACTGTCATAGCGCTACAATCGCTTTGAGGAATGGGGAACTGGTACCAATGGGTTTAGTAGCTTTGACTGGAAAGTCAGAACCATTAGCTTTAAGCCATTTGACCATGTCACTTTTTCTTGATGCAGATGATGAGCATTACATTATGGGATCCATGGAGTTATGATCAGGGGCATTATCAATAACAATCACTCATTTATCTGGCAAAAGATCGGATGAGCTTTCCAAGGTACCATTGTACAAAATAACCATAGGCTATGACTGTTGTAAGCTGGCGTTAAGGAATGGGAGTTATGATGACTTTGTACAACATCAAACAGCACATTTTCCGTCAAAGCAGAAGAATGTATTTAAGAATTTTTGTCAACAGATCAAAACCAGGTAGAAATCTAAATATAATCCAACAGAAACAGAAAGAGATTCTTTTCTTTTCCACATGGTATTTTCCTGCTGTACGTGGGATCTGGAGACTGCCATTGATAAGAGGATACAGGGCTTTACCCGGGGACCCCTAATTATTAATTTTAAGGGTCCTGTGAAGTATCAGTGTAGACAACTCTGTCTTTCGATTATTTCTTTAGAGCCTGGGAGGCTGGGATGAATAATTGATCATGTGGACTGATGGATGAAATGATGCATGTAACTGCTCTGAAAGAATCAAATAAACACTTGGCAGAGTCATAGATGTGTTGCGGGTACCGTGAATAATATTGTGTGTCCGTCTGGACACAGTGAATTGTTTCTCTGTGTCCATTTTCTACATTTGTGAATACTAGACGCACATTTGCATGTCGTTTGGTCCCTGCCTGGCTCTCGACATTAATGGGTACAACAAGGACTGGTCGGCTTGCAGTCAGTATAATGTGTCTGAGTGGGGTATTCATGCTTCACTACGACATGGTATTTCAGTGGGCTAGCACTATAAAACCAGCTTCAGTCTGGGCTAGTACAAGCAGTCCCACATACACATACACACGCATGCACGTCGTCATATGAGCGAAATATTCTCCAGCGCGATGATAAACCCAATTTCACCTCACCTCATTTGCATGTCGCATAAAACCCTGGGATATATGATTTGTACTTACCCATGTTTCGTACAGCCATACAAATTGAAATCCCTGTTCCTGTTTCTGTCAAATTACCATTAGATATTTGGCTCTCGTTGCAATGATGTCTTCTCCTTTCCACAAATTAAGTTTTAAACTGTTCACATGTTTATATTTATAACCCAACTTCAATAAGAGTTTACAGATCATGTCATGCTCTTCTTTCAGGATTTTCTTGAACATTCTGTATGAAGTAGGGTCATTTGTTTCCTAAAAATACAAAATGATATCTCTTAATACCCCCTTGTCAGAACTGTCTAGCTTTTGCTAATCTTAGATGTTGGGATGCCACCTTCCCCCTCATCATTTCCAGGGGCGGTGGGGTAGCCTAGTGGTTAAAGTGTTGGCTCGTCTCGTCGAAGACCCGGGTTCGAATCCCCACATGGGTACAATGTGTGAAGCCCATTTCTGGTGTTCCCCCGCCATGATGTTGCTGGAATATTGCTAAAAGCGGCGTAAAACCAAACTCAGTCAGTCAGTCAGTCATCATTTCCATTATGCAAGGTTTACAGGCTTTCAGGGGGACTAACTCTAGTGTCCATAAAGATAAGTTGGTTGCATGCAATGCTCTTTATGTGATACATATAAGGGTGTGTCTGTGTTTGGTTGATGTTTACAAAAGCGATATGCCTTACAAATAATATCATGGGCATCGTTTGACAACCTATATCCATGTTACAGAATATGTCTTGCCCATACTAATATTGCTGGTGCAACAATAGGTTTATTGTGACTTAGGGGCATGCAGCATGATTGTTTGACACAAATTATGTCATTGTTGGGAGATGTTAAGCCTTTCTTCCCATGACTTTTTTTCCTATGATATTTTTTCCGATCACCTGTGCTTACATACCTACCACAGGGACATGTCACAAGATTACATAGACATGAAGCAATTTTTAATTTTTGGACTTGCAATATTGCAAAACTTAAATTTCTGGTGAAGTCAATAATTATTTGATTTTTGTTTTCATGATTATATGTTGAATGGACAGTAGTACAAAAACAGGTGCCAATATGATGGTTGATGAACATGAGTCAGTTCTGGAGCAAGATGGCCAAGCTGTGTGTGAGCCACTATTTGCTGTGCAGAGTTGCATGCATTAGGTGTGACAGTGATTGTTTTGAACCACAAATTATGTTTATGCAGCATCATTTTGTTTTATACTCCTTCAACGAACAGACATTCTGTTGTAGAACGATGCTACGCTCGCTTCGCTCGCTCGCTCACTCACTCACTCACTCACTCACTCACTCACTCACTCACTCACTCACTCACTCACTCACTCACTCACTCACTCACATCACGACGCGACGCGACGCGACGCTCCACTCCGCGACGCGACGCGATCAAGACGCACGCATTGACGCGACGCGACGCGCGCACGCACCTACCTACGCATGCACCCATTCACTCACCCATGGCAAATTAGTGCCACAACAATCATTGGGTTTTGCATCAGGAAATTACAAAGGGCAATTTACATCAAACACTTACCCATGTGAAATCATAGTATCTATTATTTATGGCGTTATTCTAATATCAAATTCACTGGACCACATCTTGTTTCTCTTAACAGAATGAAAATGGAAAATGACCAGGTGAAGCAGGAACAACGTACATTCCTCCGAGAACGATTCCTGCGAATGCTTGGTGCTATCACAGGGATGAAGGCAGAAGTAACCATGGTTCAAAAGTCCCAAGTTTCAGCCACCATAGGTCCATCAGACATCGAGTTTGAGAACATGCAGGTGTCAGATCTATACACTCATCTAGGTTTGATTCCAGCTGCTGTACTCAGAACATCGGACGTGGTATCGATCAGGATGGAAAACTACCTCCCGCATGGCTCTAGCTGAAGTAATCCGTTCCTGATGACATAATAGAAGCTGCTAATTTTATAAAACATCCTTCACTTTCTTTTGAGGCTGAGTGGTTTATGTTTTGTTTTGTGGATGTTTTAACATGGAATTTGAAGTTCCACAATTAGGAAGACATGCTGTTGATTTAAATGTGTTTAATGTAATAGGCTTTTTGTGAACCTTTATCATGTGTATTTCAAATTTTGCCAGGAAATTAACATGAAACAAACCTTGACAACCTTTTGGCATCCTGCTTTCTGTAATATGTGTTATGGAACATGTTAAAAAATATATATTGTCTGACCTTGACATCAGATTCCAAACTTGGTCAATTTCTGTCTAATACCTGCTTGTACAGATTGTTTGATGTGTGATTCTGTTGATGAGTGGATGAAGCACGAGTGATGAAGTTCTGCAAATAGTTCTCATCACTTCCATTGTCAGTGAGAACATTTCACGTTTTATGATGTGGATAATACCTGACTGTTGGATGATACAGAATATCCTTCTGAAACATTGAATCATTAGTTTGGCGAGATCTTTCCTCTTGTGTGGAATCCTAATGCATCTGAAACATCTTATTTTGTGACAACTTTTATGTATGATGTTTTGAATTTATGATTTGTCAATCATTTTTAATGTATGTCTTTCCTTTTCTTTTATATGATTTCAAGAATGGTGAAGTGCAGGGCATTTAGTATTTGCACTAATTTTCTGCAACTTGATGTATTTGACTTTTACCGTTCAGAGTTTATCTGAAGTTTTATTAAGTTAGAGCCTTTGACAGAAAATGATGAAGCTTTATTACATGTTCACCAAAACTGTTTCAATATATTCTGACATTTTCCACATGTCTTATAAAGATTCCTGAATAAAAGAGTCATCTTTTTGTATTTTATAGTGAGTGAGTGAGTGTGTGTGGCTTTACACCGCTTTTAGCAACATTTGAGCTACATAACAGCGGGGGACACCAGAAATGGCTTCTCACATTGTACCTATGTGGGGAATCGAAACCTGTGTCTTCAACGTGATGAACAAATGTTTTAACCACTAGGCTACCCCACCACCCTGTATTTTACAGGGTGTACAATACATGATTGTTTCCCATGCATGTGAGAGCCGAGAAAGATGAGGGTCTAGGGAACACATTGGTCTGTCTGGCCTTGCGTTGAATATTTATAGGCCTCTGTGATACAGACACATATATTGCTGACAAATAACAATTTGAATGGGTCAGTTGTGTGATACTTTGTTTAATGTGACTATTTGACATCAGGGTTGAGGTGATGCACAGAAGGGATGCATCACAGATGACTCTGGCAGTGGCAGGGTGAATCATTTTGTCAGAATCTACTTTTAGTGGGACAGAGTTCGTCAAGGCATTCTCACAACGCTTCTTGTTATCCAGTTAGTCAGGCTCTGTGGTTAACAGGTTTTTTAGTTGAATCTGTGATAAATGATCATTCTAAATTCTTAATGTATCCCTCTTAAAATATCTTTAAGATTCAACATGATTGACTGCTAAGTGAATATTATGGAAATTAGTTGCTGTTCCTGGATTTGCAAAGTAGATACCCCTCTGATGGTATTGCAAAGTAGATACCCCTCTGATGGTATTGCAAAGTAGATACCCTCTGATAGTATTGCAAAGTAGATACCTCTCTGATAGTATTGCAAAGTAGATACCCCTCTGATAGTATTGCAAAGTAGATACCCTCTGATGGTATTGCAAAGTAGATACCCCTCTGATGGTATTGCAAAGTAGATAGCCCTCTGATGGTATTGCAAAGTAGATACCCCTCTGATAGTATTGCAAAGTAGATACCCTCTGATGGTATTGCAAAGTAGATACCCTCTGATGGTATTGCAAAGTAGATACCCCTCTGATGGTATTGCAAAGTAGATACCCCTCTGATAGTATTGCAAAGTAGATACCCCTCTGATAGTATTGCAAAGTAGATACCCTCTGATGGTATTGCAAAGTAGATAGCCCTCTGATGGTATTGCAAAGTAGATACCCCTCTGATGGTATTGCAAAGTAGATAGCCCTCTGATGGTATTGCAAAGTAGATACCCCTCTGATGGTATTGCAAAGTAGATAAAGTAGATACCTCTGATGGTATTGCAAAGTAGATACCCTCTGATGGTATTGCAAAGTAGATACCCCTCTGATGGTATTGCAAAGTAGATACCCCTCTGATGGTATTGCAAAGTAGATACCCCTCTGATGGTATTGCAAAGTAGATAGCCCTCTGATGGTATTGCAAAGTAGATACCCCTCTGATGGTATTGCAAAGTAGATACCCCTCTGATGGTATTGCAAAGTAGATACCCCTCTGATAGTATTGCAAAGTAGATACCCCTCTGATGGTATTGCAAAGTAGATACCTCTCTGATGGTATTGCAAAGTAGATACCCCTCTGATGGTATTGCAAAGTAGATAGCCCTCTGATAGTAATTGCAAAGTAGATACCCCTCTGATAGTATTGCAAAGTAGATAGCCCTCTGATGGTATTGCAAAGTAGATACCCCTCTGATAGTATTGCAAAGTAGATACCTCTCTGATAGTATTGCAAAGTAGATACCCTCTGATGGTATTGCAAAGTAGATACCCCTCTGATGGTATTGCAAGGTAGATAGCCCCTGATGGTATTGCAAGGTAGATACCCCTCTGATAGTATTGCAAAGTAGATACACCTCTGATGGTATTGCAAAGTGATAGATACCCTCTGATGGTATTGCAAAGTAGATACCCTCTGATAGTATTGCAAAGTAGATTCCCTCTGATGGTATTGCAAAGTAGATACCCCTCTGATGGTATTGCAAAGTAGATAGCCCTCTGATGGTATTGCAAAGTAGATACCCTCTGATAGTATTGCAAAGTAGATACCTCTCTGATAGTATTGCATTGCAAAGTAGATACACCTCTGATAGTATTGCAAAGTAGATACCCCTCTGATGGTATTGCAAGGTAGATAGCCCTCTGATGGTATTGCAAAGTAGATAGCCCTCTGATAGTATTGCAAAGTAGATACCCCTCTGATGGTATTGCAAAGTAGATACCCCTCTGATGGTATTGCAAAGTAGATAGCCCTCTGATAGTATTGCAAAGTAGATACCTCTCTGATAGTATTGCAAAGTAGATACCCCTCTGATGGTATTGCAAGGTAGATACCCCTCTGATGGTATTGCAAAGTAGATACACCTCTGATAGTATTGCAAAGTAGATACACCTCTGATAGTATTGCAAAGTAGATACACCTCTGATAGTATTGCAAAGTAGATACACCTCTGATGGTATTGCAAAGTAGATACCCCTCTGATGGTATTGCAAGGTAGATAGCCCTCTGATAGTATTGCAAAGTAGATACCCTCTGATGGTATTGCAAAGTAGATACCCCTCTGATGGTATTGCAAAGTAGATAGCCCCTCTGATAGTATATTGCAAAGTAGATACCTCTCTGATAGTATTGCAAAGTAGATACCCCTCTGATGGTATTGCAGTAGATACCCCTCTGAGTAGATACACCTCTGATGGTATTGCAGCATAGATACACCTCTGATAGTATTGCAAAGTAGATACCCCTCTGATGGTATTGCAAAGTAGATACACCTCTGATGGTATTGCAAAGTAGATACACCTCTGATGGTATTGCAAAGTAGATACACCTCTGATAGTATTGCAAAGTAGATACACCTCTGATGGTATTGCAAAGTAGATACACCTCTGATAGTATTGCAAAGTAGATACCCCTCTGATGGTATTGCAAAAGTAGATACCCTCTGATGGTATTGCAAAGTAGATACACCTCTGATGGTATTGCAAGGTAGATACCCCTCTGATGGTATTGCAAGGTAGATACACCTCTGATTGTATTGCAAGGTAGATACCCCTCTGATGGTATTGCAAAGTAGATACCCCTCTGATGGTATTGCAAAGTAGATACACCTCTGATGGTATTGCAAGGTAGATACCCCTCTGATAGTATTGCAAAGTAGATACCCCTCTGATGGTATTGCAAAGTAGATACCCCTCTGATGGTATTGCAAGGTAGATACCCCTCTGATAGTATTGCAAAGTAGATACCCCTCTGATGGTATTGCAAAGTAGATACCCCTCTGATGGTATTGCAAGGTAGATACACCTCTGATGGTATTGCAAAGTAGATACACCTCTGATAGTATTGCAAAGTAGATACCCCTCTGGTGGTATTGCAAAGTAGATACCCCTCTGATGGTATTGCAAAGTAGATACACCTCTGATGGTATTGCAAAGTAGATACACCTCTGATAGTATTGCAAAGTAGATACACCTCTGATGGTATTGCAAAGTAGATACACCTCTGATAGTATTGCAAAGTAGATACACCTCTGATGGTATTGCAAAGTAGATACACCTCTGATGGTATTGCAAAGTAGATACCCCTCTGTGGGTATTCAAAGTAGATACCCCTCTGGTAGTATTGCAAAGTAGATACCCCTCTGTGGGTATTCAAAGTATATACCCCTCTGTGGGTATTCAAAGTATATACCCCTCTGTGGGTATTGAAAGTAGATACCCCTCTGTGGGTATTCAAAGATGACACTTTCACCATCCTCCCTCCAGACCAAGATCCATCTGTACTCAAACATCTGAACTCCCAGCATCAGTGAATCCAGTAAACCATAGAGTCTGAAACTAGCCAACATCTAGCCTTTCTTGGCGCATCCCTCCACTCTACCCATGATGGTCTCCGCACTTCAGTCTACAGGAAACTCACCAATACGATCAGCATATCTTGTCATCATCCCCAGATCAAACACTCTATCACCCTTACACGCGGAGCCATAAATCCTGGACAAGGTGATAAACCACTTCAAAGAAACCTTCACCCTCCTGAACGATTACCCCAGCTGCCTAGTCAACAAAAATGTCACCATCCAAAAACAGCAAACCCCGAACCAAACCAGTCCCATCGCCAATAAGAGTCACAGCACCATATGAAGGACCAGATTGCCCGCCTCCTCAAAAAGACTGCAAGGATAGACGGTCACCTTCAGCAGCAATAAACCTTGACAACACTCAAATGAGCCAATGAGAAAGGGCCCAAGAACAAGTGTGTTCTTTCATTGTTATATAAACAGGCATTATCCATGTATATGTGCAGTGCTCACCTGTGCCTGCGTGCAAGAAGGAGTAAGGATCCGAAAAGTCATTTAAAAAAATACAGTTCATAAAAGTTGATATAGAAAAAGATCTTTTACTCACCCTCCACCCCACTGAGCCCCACGCCAATGACAAAGCCAATAAGGCTTCATATGGTTCTAGTTTTGTTGAAAATTAGCGATCAACGCTGTTTATTGTTTCCCGGCCAACTAATCATACCAAGGAACAACCGGTGTTACTTTGAACTCCTTAATACAATGGACTGCCTCCGTGGTGTAGTGGATAGAGCGTCCGCCCGGAGAGCGGAAGGTCGCGGGTTCGATCCCCGGCCGCGTGATACCAAAAGACGTTTAAATATGGTACTTGTTGGTCCCTGCTTGGTGCTCGGCATTAATGGGTACAACAAGGACTGGTCGGCTCGGAGTCAGTATAATGTGTCTGAGTGGGGTATTTATGCTTCACTGCGGCATGGTATCTCAGTGGGCTAGCACTATAAAACCAGCTTCAGTCTGGGATAGAACAAGCAGCCGAACATACACATACACACGCATGCACGTCGTCACATGAGCGAAATATTCTCAAGCACGACGTTAAACCCAATTCCACCACCACCACCTTAATACAATGACAGTTGGTAAGCCTGATTTGGCCCTCGGCACTATGTATGCATTTCTGTGAGGGCATGGAACGCTTTCCTGTTTCTCATCATCCACAGGTCATCGAACACGGCCTTCACTAAACTTGAAGAAAATTC